GTAGACCCCAGTTCGAAATATCTTCATGTATTGTAACCCAACCTGCTTAGGCGACCTCCAAGTGTAGGTGTTCATAAATATTTACATGTAAATCCTAAGTCTCCTTGGAGGCCTCATCCTTCAATCTAAAAAAAAAAACCAACCCTCTTTGTATCCAGTCATTTATGCTCCCCCTACTGCACCAAGCTGGTTAGGGTCAGGCATCTGACAAGCACGCCTGTGGTACTGAATGAGACATTCAATATAGCCCGTCTTAATTCAATAACATATGTACGAGTTAACACCACCAATCAATTAAGATCAGAAGCCATAAAAGCCATGCGTAGTATAGCATCAAGGTACATTATTATTATTATTATTATTATTATTATTATTATTATTATTTTTCTTTGATTTCTATTGTATGCACATTTCTTTCCAGGTCCAACCAGAGGCCTAAGGTCAGAAATCATGACATTTTTCTTTGATCATTGTTGTAAAAATAAAAACAAACAAAAATCTCTAAGATCACACATTATTATTATTATTATTATTATTATTATTATTATTATTATTATATCTCGATTTCTGCTAGGGTCACACAACCTACCAAGTCTGCGGGAAGACCTAAGGCAGAGAGTGGTGTGTTATTATCGCTACATTTCATGATTTGCTTTTCTAATTCCCCTAACATCACTAGTGTTACATAGACAAAGTTCTTAGTGTGTAGGGTGTAGTTATCAAGACATTTTTTGTATTTGTCTTAAGCTGGGATTTCGAGGGATTTTTTTCAGTGTGTTGTTGTGTTCCTTTTTTTATCCTTCCAAGCGCATCTACTATTCTTGTTTTCGAGTTCCACATTTTTCTATTTCGATTTCCAGGTCTTTATATTTCGATAGTTTTTCAAATTCCTTGGTTGCTATGTTACAGTCCGCTGGGCAAGTCATATCATTTAGTAGGCAAGTTTATTATTATTATTATTATTTAATGCATTTGTAAGTACACACCAGATACGTGACAGTCATCGATGGAGATCGTGTGTAAACAAATCTCCAAAAATTTCCAGTATCTTTCTCCTTATTCTCGCAATTCTCAGCGACGCCATAGTTTGAACACTATCAATTCTTCCATGAATTTTAATTCATCTAATCTCGATCCATGGGTTTCTCTTAAGGTTCGATGTTCGCTAACGGTTACAAAGAGAGCATAACCTCCATGTTCCCACCATTTTCTCGTCTGTGAAGCGAGGTTCTGATAATTGTTATTATGCTGATTATTCCAAAGAATATTTTTATCTATCACATTCTTAGATATTGGTCCAGTTGGCTTAAAGCCAAACTAAAATAGTTATGTAGTTTCCTCTGAGACCAGATGTTGATGTTCGAGTCCAAATGAAAGGCCAAGATTTCGATGGGGATTTTATAGGTACATGGACAGAAACTTCCCAATTGACAGTTTCAATTATTGTATTATATTTTCTCTTGCTTTTCACTGGGTAATGCTAAGCTGTGTTTAGCGATCATTCAGAATGTTACCCCATTATAAGTTTCTTTAAGAATATTTATAAGTTTATAATTTTTAAGAATACTGGTCCAAATTATGTTTATTATTTAATCTTTAATAATGTTGACTTCAAGTACGTTCTGGGGACGTTTGGCGCCACTTATCGTCCTGTTAAGCCTACCCAACTTTCAAGAGAATCTCTATTTCGTCTCCCTTGCCCCCGCGACCATCTTCTCTTTGCCCAAATCGCTCATTGCCGTCGTCTTATTTAAGTCTGTACACGCCTCGATTCATACACTACTTTGTCACTGCCTCTTTTCGTTAAAGATATCACTCACTTGCAAGTCCGCCGACCAAATATTGAGTTCCCATAACCGATGCTCGGTGATTTCATTGAGACTTGGAACCGCCCTTCCATTTAAAGTGCACTCATCGAAAGAACACACACACACACACACACACACACACACACATACACGCAAACGTCTTCACCGACACAAAATACAATTCATGTACTTTTAAATTTTCTCCTCTCTTTCATTGTTTTTCTCTCTTTCTTGATGTCTTTCATATCTCTTTTTTTTCTTCTTTTTCGTTTTTTCTTTCTTGTACTTTTTCTTCAGGTCATCTTTTTCTCTTTTCTTTCTTTTTTTTTTCTTTATGCCATCTTTTCTTCTTTCTCCATGTCCTCATTTTTTCTTTTCCATATTAGTTTTTCTCTTTTCTTTCTTACTTACTTTCGTTCTTTCTTTCTTTTCATGCTATTCTTTCTTTCTTTTTTCTTTGTTTCTGTTTTTTTTATTGTTTTGCTTTGTCCTCTTTTTCTTTCCTTCTCATGTTTTTTCTTTCTTTCTTCTACCCTTTCTTTCTTTGTGTCTTTTATCTATTTTTTGCTTTGTTCTCTTTTTTGTTTCCTTAGCTCTTTCTTCCTTCCTCCCTTCCTTCCTTCCTTCCTTTCTTTCTTTCTTTCTTTCTTTCTTTCTTTCTTTCTTTCTTTCTTTCTTTCTTTCTTTCTAATGTAAGTCTTTCTTTTTTCTTTGTTAGCCTTTCTCTTTCTTTGCGTATTATTTTTTTATTTTGTTCTCTTTTCTTTCTTTCTTTCTTTCTGTCATCGATTCTTATATTCTTTCTTCCTCGAAATTCCTCCAAATAAGATTCACTGACAATTGCAACCACTCATTCACTCATATATTAAGGTATTACATCGCGTCCATTCAGTCGCACTTTCTCGCCGCAATCCAAAACCTATTCCAAAACGGTTCATTCTAGAAAGAATTCGCTGTTGCATGTAATGATGTACACACGAGAAGGCCCCTCGAAGAGCCGAATTCATATCACTTAAGAAGTCATTTGTTTCCTATCACGTACCTGTTTTTGACGAAGCTGAAAGTGAATGTGCGGATACGATTGTGCTTTGCCCGTTATTCGCGTATAAAACAGACTGAAGAAAGGACTACGAAGGCATTAATCAAAATGCTTTCGCTTCCAACTACAAAGATGTAAATGATATTATGAAGCAAACTAGTTGCAGTATTCAGTGCCTAATGCCTTCCTGATGTTAATAAAATTGTCAGGTGAAAAGCTTTGATCGTAACACCTACATAAAATAGACTTGAAAACCTGAGTTACAACTTAGAAGCTTGCGGAGTCTATGCTTGGATAGCTAAAAAGGCACAAACCTTCATGTTTCTCTATGCTTCGTGCATGGGTGAGTCTAGGCCCGGTGAGCTGGGTGCTCCCCATAAAAAAAAGTAAAATCGCATCCTACTTCAGAATTGATAACTTAAAAAAAAAGATTTATTTCAAATGTATTCTTACGAACTGTTTATATAATTCGTAGTAACACCAATCAAAAAAAAATGTCACATCCCTTCAGGGCGTAGGCGAACATGACTCACGACAGACTCCTTTATTATGAAATGTCATACATTCTTAGTAAAGATAGTGGAGTTGTTCCTCGTTACCCCCTCCCCCACCATCGGTTTCGAATTCAGAGTTTTCATTCTCATAGATTAGTTGCTATTCAAGTTGAGATAGCGTAGTCCATATTGCTATTTAACTCATAGCTGGAGGAGAAGAGACATGGTCGTGCCAATCATAAGCATACCTGTGCAAAAATGAACGCAGTCAACTAACCCGGAATTTAAACTCTGCTCTTCGTTTCTACTTTAATTAGGGTGTTGGGGGGGGGAGATATTGCCGATAGAATCTGTCAAACTTTCATTTATTCCAATGATTGCGTATTTAGCGAAACAGAAAATCTCGACGTTAGATTGGTTGAGAAAAGAAAAAAAGATAATCACTTTACTGACGAGTGCATCTGATACCAGAATTGGTATTTAAGGTTTTGACTTTACTTATCTCTGCCCACTGACATCGCTACTACTTTACCAAGTCTGCTTAGCATTTGTCATTTTCTGTACGAGTAAACTCAATATTATAATATAAAAAGTCATTATAGATAGTCTCGTCATATCGAGACTTTCTTACGGATGCCATGCATGACACCAAACTTGTTCAGAAATATTTAAACAGCCAGCTTTCGCAGATCAATAGTTAAAATGGCTTCGAAGCATGTAGGACATAGCGAGGATCATTCCTCTTCGAACTTTGTAGACTAGCGGAACAGAATTTCAAAGAACTATACCAAATAACAGAAACAACATCACTTGAAGATTTCCAACAACAGAAACAACTGAAATGGATAGCACATACAACTCGAAGCAACTGCTTTCATTTAACCACCATAAAGAACCTTTTTTTGCAAGCCATCTGCATGGCTGTCGCTAGACTTCAGGAGAGCAACACACTACGCCTTATTGGCTGCGTGTTTTCCACAGACTTGAAGTGGGGCGACTACATCGAATTAATAGCGGCTTCTATTGCAAGGAAAGTTGGGTCACTCTGATGTGCCAGAATAAATTTCTAGTCAAAATCCATCCTTCAGCATTTTTCAAATCTACCATCCGTCCGTACATTGAACACTGTTTTCATATTTGGTTTGTTGTACATCTTAAGATTCTTGATAAAATCCAAAGAAAGATCTGTAATGTAATCGACCTCAGTCACTTTCCCACCGACGTGACATGGCTTCTCTTTGTCTTTTCTACAAATATTTTCATGGTAATTGTTCTGACGAGCTTTTTTTCCCCCTGGTGTCCCGAATACATGAATTTAAGCGTGCTACTAGATTGGCACCTAGGTCCCGGTCTTTTATGTGAAAATAACTAAATGTAACCTCCATTTCTACTCCAACAGTTTCTTTTCTCGCACTTTCCACTTTAATTAGGGTGTGAGAGGAGATATTGCCGATAGAATCTGTCAAACTTTCATTTATTTCGTGAACTCTCTTCCGTTAGAGCTACAATCTTCAAAAATTTAAATGCAACATCAATCGGCATTTTCCGTTTTGTTGAACTCCGTTCATTTTTTGTTCTTTCCTCAATCCTTCCTATTCTCATTTGTCTCTTTCATTTTCACTCCCTGTAAACCCTGCGTACTAATGACATTGGCGCCTTGCTTGGGGTGAAATGATTTAAAAAAAACAAACAGATAGAGCGATAACAGTGGATTTTCCAGAAAAATTGTTTTAATAGACAGATTTTATAAATTTCAACTGAAACAAAGCCTAGTTGCTCAGTCAATGAAAGCCGAATATTCTCTTATAAGGAAACGGCTGATATACGCTAAATTTTTCAATTTTTTTCTAAAGTTTTGTGTACGGGTAGTATACCGGATATCGGCACCTAAAGTGGAAATGGAGATCCGTTTTCGAATTCCATGCTTGTTACTGCTTTCACTTAGGTACGAATTCCCTTTGGAAAGGTATCAAGTCGTCTCTTCTTCCTCTACATCTCTAGCCCTGGGTGGCAACCAACCTATGAGAATGAAAACTCTTAGTTCAATATTCGTAAGTGGTGAAGGCGACGGGAAACCATTCCATTCTCTTTCTAAGAATGCATGGCAATTCACAGATAATAAAGCAATCTGTGGGTTTTCATGATCGCCTATGTCTTGAAGCATAAAAAGCAAACAAAATAAACAAGCAAAAAATTCTAAATATTGCTGGAACAATTTTCATCGCTCAGTCTGTGTTCTGTGAAGTGAAAATCAGCGGTCGAGAATAAGCGCAGATGTTACTCTCTCTCTCTCTCTCTCTCTCTATATATATATATATATATATATATATATATATATATATATATAAACACAATGTACCTTTAAATATTTATGTTATGTTATCGCAATGTTTATTGACCTGTTCTGACTTCTTAGCAGTGTGATACTTTTTTTTTCTGGCCAGAATCTATTTTGCATATTTATAAGTCTACCATTCGTCCGTACATCAAATATTGCTGCCACATCTGGTCTGGTTCTTCTGCTACATATAATGGGATTCTTGACAAAATACAAGCAAGAGTCTGCAACTTTATAGGTACTGACCTGGCATCTCTTTCCTACCGCCGTAACGTAGCTTCTCTGTGCCTTTTTCCATAAATATTTTCATGATAATTGTTCTGATGAGCTTTCTACTTTGGTACCTCAACTTCATGCATTGAAGCGCGGTATTAGATGTTGCAGATAGGCATAATAAATTCCCTGTTGAAGTTGCTAGGTGTAACCGTAAGTTCTATGCTAATTTTTTTTCTTTCTCCCACACCTCTCACTTTTAAAGCTCTGTTCCGGTTTTCTTCTTTCCTATTCCCTACTCTCTGCAAAAATTTAAATGCAATATCAATCGTCATTTTCTGTTTTCTTAATCCCTTTTAATCCCTGTTCTTTTATCATCCTCTCTGTTTCTTTTGCTTTCATTAACTCTTGGCACCTTAATGGGTTTTATCACCTTGCTTGCGATGAAAGGATTAACAATAAAAATTCCGTTGGGATGGTAGCAGTGTACATTACTTGACACCACCTGAAAGAAACATACCCTGAGCTACATATCAATGGAATATCTTATTATAAGAAATCAAACTGTTAATACATTGTTATTTTTTTAATTTAGTTTGTCTTAGCTTTGTATATCTTTACTTTTAATTAGGTACCTCCACTTGCTCGCTGAAATAAACAGCAAAGCATGAAGGAAAAGGCCCCAAACTTAATAAAAACAAGGTTTTATCGTGAAAATGTTTATGTTATTATTAAGAGGAAAGACAAAAGTATTTTTTTTATTATTTTATTAAATTTTAATCCTTTCTAGCACGTTCAAAATTTTGGTTAAAAATCTTTTTTTTTTCATCAACGGTCGATGCAATATTTACAATTAGTGTTTTAGCACCTTATTTCGGGTGAAAATCACATTGATTTGGAATTTCTTGTAAAAATCAAATAATTGTCAGATTTTAATGAAACTTTCAAAACTTATTCACAGATTAATAAAGTTATTTTTAAATTTTTTTTGAAAATCTTGGTGAAAATATATTTCTTTACGTGTTACTTCCCACTTACTTAATTTCATGAAATTTCGAGAAATTAAATTGCAATCTCAGAATTTGTTTTATTAGTTAAAAGCAGGACACATTGAAGAATGTGAACCATCAATTTTCTTTTGTAAAACAGGACACCCAGTTGCCGAAAATCTGCTCTTAATTGTAAAATAAAAATTCAATAAAAATATGACATTATCTAATTAGAAAAGCTTTTAATTGCTTTTATAAATAAGATTTATTAAGGACACTGTTGTCTTAGGAAACATATTTTTGATGAACAATGAATTTTTACAAGAAATGTTTTAATTTTTTTAATTTTAATTATAATAATTTATAATATTATAAATCGTTTAAAATTCTGCATTACTTCAATTCGGTTAGGTTATATTGTTATTAAGTGAAAACTATATTTACGAATAAAAAGTTTGAAAAGCTGAATAAAAGTTGTTTACACCTAATATTTTAAAAAAATCAATTTTTTTATCTATATAAAATAGTACATAACTTGCTCCTGTTTGAAAGTATGGTCGACCATACACGACATAGAAAATAAAAATGATGACTATAGTCAATTTAACTTTAACATTCC